ACACACACACACACACACACACACACACACACACACACACACACACACAGACAACGCCTACACAATTGCAGTTGGCGTGCCTCTGTGTTCCTAGCATGTGGGAGTCACGTTACCTGTGACATCTGTGTATGCTTCACCATTAGATGCAGCAACTGCAACTGTGAGAGTTGGGCGTGGTGGCTACACAGTCCGCACCCGAACCAGTTCTGTCCGATCTGCAGGGGTGGCCACATGCCATAGGCAGTGCCTGTTTGCGGACTCGCACTGACTGACCTCTTGTGCCATTCTCTAAGAGTCTGCTCTGCAGGTGAGTATTGAGAAGTCGAGAACCCTATGCGGTTATTCTTTCCCCTTTTCTGTTTCTTCCTCTCTCCATCTCCCTCTGCCCTTCCCCTTCTCCATCCTCCCTCCTATTGTGAAGATCTACTAAGTACATATGACTAGGCAGCATTAAGAGAACAGACAAAATATTGATGCAGGTGTCCTGAAATGCAAATGGGTGTGTACACATTCCATGCTAAAGCACACAAACGTGGTGAACCTTGCCCCTCTCAGAAAACAACAATGAAACCGCCAGTCGTCTGCTCTGCCGGCGAATACTGAGAACCCTGTGAAGTTCATTTTTTTCCCATGTTCTGTTTCTTCCCCCTACCTACATCCCCTTCCCTTTCTCCTCCTCCCTCTTCCCATTAGAACTACTAAGGCATACGAATGAGCATCACAAAGAGAACAGGCAAAATATATGCCTCCCTCTTCACTCTGCCTCCTTTTCATAGCGTGCAAGTGGGCCATCATGGCACATGGGGATGTGGGCACCTCCCGCTCGATCACAATCAACGTGGCGGGCCTTGTATGGAAGTGGCACATGAAAAAGGGAGCTGCAAGAGGAAACAAAAGAGAAACCACAAAAAGCCGAAGCAAGCAAAGCAAAGAAAGAACTGCACAAGGAAAAGGCAATATAAGGGTTTTTGGTGGTTCATGTCACCTGCTATAGAAGATTCTAAGGTAGAGCTGTCTCAATTTTGGATCTACTCGTCTGGGTGGAAAAGGGGTTGTTGTGGTAGCAGTGTACAACACACTGAACAT